GAATCTTGGCGGTCCAACCTCCTTGTAACCCACAAAGATGAGACCGATACTCGACGACAGATCTTTGGGGTGTAAGTTATGTTGTATAAATAGTGATGATGCTTTCATTTAATAAGCATGGTGTGCTGAATAATCTGTAATTGCCAGTTCATTAGCCATTGTACTGGATAGAAAAGGAGGTTATTGATATGACTCCCAGGAGGTTTTGCTTCCTTCCTTCCACCAAATTCACTATATCATCACTGTGTTGCTTTTCATCCAGTTCAAGGTTTATTCTGTCAGGCTAATGAAACCTGTGGCTTGTTGTTTTGCATTATTTTCTACTTGCTTGAGGAGCTCAGTAAAATATGAATTTTCTTTTGCACGAGAGATTATGATCTGGAACAAAACGAAGACAATGTATTGGCAAGAATGTTAGACTGTAAAGAAGCTACTATATCTCATTTAAGTTGGGTCAGCCTTTTTTTTTTTTTTTTTAAGGATTTCATACTTTATGTTGATAAGGGTGTCATTCCGGAGAAGCAAATCCTAATTGAACCTATATTTGCTCAATGAATACAACTCCGGAGGAAATGTATTCAGAAGTGAGTTCACTTTCTGCCTCTTTTTGACTTTTTGCAAGGGAATTACCTGTGCCAAGGGTTTTCCCTAGTGTCTGGTGTTTCACTGTGACGTATGAAAAATTGCGAGTTTTTGGCATGCAAATTGTGTCTAACTTAGAGGGTTGCATATGCTCAAACAGTCCATTCATGAGAGCCCGGATGTAATTTGTTTCTAAGTGGTTGAGGTTCTGAAATTGCGTTCAAACGACACAGGGCAAGGCATCTGTTGTACCATTTGATGAAAAGAAACCTATGTTTCACAATGTATTGAGGTGATTATGCGTTATACAGCTTCAAATCGTCACGCACTTGTATTCTCCCTGGCATTCCAAGCGTCGAATTTAAGCACACAAATACGTGTACAACAATTTATCTCACATACCTAACATTATATATAAAAAAATACTACAGTAATTGTTTTGAAAAAAAATCTTTCAAATTATCTTCAATCCAGCCACATTCATAGTATCTTAAGTCAACAGTTTGCTACGCCAACTGAAAGAAACTCTTAGGTTATACAGTTTCAAAGTTATCTGATAAAAATTTTTTTTTTTTTTGGGTTTGTACATTTGACAGGTGTTGAGTCTGTGCAATAATAAATACCTACTCAATTAAAATATAGATTTTGTATATAGTGTTAAGTAGGGTCGAATCTATAGGGATTGGAAAAATTCATTTCTCCTTGGGTTCAAAGTATGGGGGATTTTGGAGATACTTGGAATTAACCAACTAAATTCAGTAACATCAAAATAACACAAATGAAATAAAATTGAATCAATAATAGCAAAACTCTAGCCAACAAAGGAATAACTGTCAGACAAAATTCATAAACCGGTCATAGATGTAAGGATGAATTCAATTATTTATTGATAAATTAGTTCTAACATAAAAGCCAACTCTTCATTATTTTGTCGATAGTCAAGATATGCCGATGACTATTTCTCTAATTAGGAAATAATTCTAGGTACGACCATAGAAGTTTAATTTTCCGATTGTATGAATAATTAGAGGAGTCTAATTCTAACCAATCAATACGCTATGAAAGTCTTTTTAAGTTAGATTATTCGTTCCCCTAACACAAACCTAAGTATGCCAGTTGCTACCAGGATTAAAGCAATCTAACAATTACAAATTAAATCGCTTCAATTAGCAATCGACTATTAAATCAATTCAAATACCGGATCCTTTGATATTCGAATAACATAATAGTCACAAATATTAAAACCAAAGAACGAATAAATACCAACAAATAAAAGAAACAGTGTAATTGATTAGATCTCACAGTTTGTAGAACAAAGCCTTCAAGTTATCCTCAGGCTAGAAAGAGAATTTGGCTACGCATCATTGAGGGAAATCTACGAGAATCCATTGATAACAATTGCGTATGGTTCTTTTTTTTCCCTAAAAACTAACGAAAAGGCCAGTCGAAGGGCAAAAGCAAGTGACGTCGTATCTTGTACTTCAAAGAGTCACACCACATGAAATTGTTGCTGGCCAACTCCCATTCAAACGGTCAGTCCTTTGTTTTTTCTTTTTTTGTTTCCTAGTCGGTCTCAATTACCAACAGCGTAACCTGTATCCTAAATAGAAAAAGGTAACTACTAAAGATATATTCCAGTTTCCCTCATCCAATACTAGAACTAATAGTGAAAATTAAAAGTCTTCAAAATCTTCTTCCAAAAATTTCCCTAAGTTCGATTTGGACTTGAAAATAGGCCCCGAACGTACCACCATCAAATTAACTCTTAAAATGCTGAAAAATTGCTCTTTTTGATCACGCCTCATATAATTCGCTACAATTAGCACAATTAATCGACTATCAGTAGAATCCGATAATTAAAACAATATTTGGTAAGAATAGAGGAGAAATTAATCATAAAAATTAATAACAAATTTCAACATATCAACGTTAGGTGGTATAAAATTTATCAAATACGTAACATATTTCGGAAAATATCACTAATCCAAACACACTCCATCGAGTGCCGGAATGTCAACCTGTCTTTGTCTTTTATGTCCAAAACTATTTTCTTCTCTCAAGTCATTACTCTATTTTCTTTCAAGTCAGCGTCCAGCGTTAAGAAGTTAAATTTTGATGCAAGTGGTTTTCTTTTCTTCTTTCGATTGTCTATCCTCTTCAACATACCAACTTCATACGTTGAAGGCTGGCTAATTTGCATTTTCTTTCATTCACAACTATGGTAAAGTGCATTTTACACGATACTGCACTTTTATTTTAGTGTAAGTGAGGGGTTCAAATCCGAAATTTCTTACTTACACTTTTTTTCTTCGAACCATTCAACATATCCCTTCTCCAACCAAAAACATGTATATATATATAGACACACACACATATTAATAATACTCCACTCACATGCTTTTTCGCTAGGGTAAAGTGCATCCGAAATCATTTAATTTCTTAAATTTTCATGCCGTCCATTAGACTATTTTTGTACCAAATGAACCTCTAAAAGTGCTTCATTTAGACCATTTTGTTAAATTAGATAGGAGTCAACTCTGAATTAATTACTTATTAATTAGAGGCACATTTAATTTGAGGAAACAGTTGGGACATTTCGTGCAAAATCCATCAACTGCGAATCAATTAAGTAGAGTCCATTCTGCTACCAAAAACTCCCAAATTTCTAAATTTTCGGCGAGAATTGGTGTGAAATTAGTAGTTCTAACAGCAAATGGGCGGGCTACTTAATCCGCTGATCGGTTTTGTGCAAAATGTCCAAAGTAACCATTCGGAATGGGCGTTTCTCTCTCGCTTGGTTTGACTTTCATCTAACTTCATAGCTATGTTTTCAAGGGACTATTCGACGCCAAAAATAGTTTAATGGGTGAAATGAAAATTCTTAAAAAGTTTAGTGGCATCTAATGCACTTCACCCTTTCAAAGATCATACACGTTAATTTCCAATGATTGGTTAGAGATCCTTTCCAATGATTGGTTAATTTGCAGGGCCTTTTCATTGCTTTTATATGTGTATCTTTCTGTAACTTAAAGCATTTACTGCTATAAAATTTCTTGAAGAAATCAATTAAAGATAGCACACTATCCAAGTATTATACTAGTACTACTATCTTATGGAGGAAATCTTATGCACTGAACCATGCTTGCAAGTTGCAAGTAGCAAGTAGGAATAGAAAGGTCAACAGAAATATCAGTTACTTGAGGTTTTCTAAACGTACAAGTTGTGCATTAATAAACCAGCTTCCACAGTAGACTTAGCTGAAAAAAACACAAATCAATCTTCATTATTTCTGTTCAATTGCATGTAACTTTGGCATGCAGACTTTTAGCTGCAAGTCTCCGCTTAGTTTAATGGCTCAACAATTGGGCGATGAAATTGACTGATTTATGATAATCATATAATACTTGGATAGTTTCTTCGTTTTTTTTTTTTCTTTTTTCATTTTCTTGGAAAATCATTTTTACTTTTTATCAAAAAAAAAAAGTTCTTATTTTTACGATATTATGTTCGTCACGATCATGCTTATTTATTGGGCAGTAGGTGCAAAAAATTTTCTGGCAAACTCAAGATGAGTTCTTGGTCTTTCTTGTGAGCAGAAGATTCTTGTTTTCATGGTAAGAACAGGATGATTCAAAGTTAGGAGGACTTTTAAGATCCCAGTAAAGCAAGTATATTAATTTACTTTCTTGAAATGACAAGCCTTGCTATTTTCTCATGTATTTGAGTTTCTTGCATTGTTGGATTTGAGCACTTTTCTTCCATTGAATTTATAGCTGCAACTTTTGCTGGTTGAGAGCAGGAGAAAGTTTGGCAGTTGAAAAATTAGTGAGGTATGTACTTTGATTTATTTCAACAATTGAGGATGATATATATATGTATGGACCAATTGAGATGGTGACAAAGGAGTAAGGGCATTAATAACAGTAGGTAATATAACAGCATCAATGAGACTATGGTCATAAATCTCTCCAACCAATAGTTATAAATTAGAAACAAAAAACTCCCTAGATCACAAATCAACATCAATGGGACTATGGTCATAAATCTCTCCAGCCAATAGACATAAACTAAAAACTAAAAAACTCCCTGGACCATAAATCTGAGCATCTGCAACTATCTTTATAGCAGACAATCATGACAATGAAACTAGAAAGTACAATCCTCCCCAACCAAAGAATAGTATATATAAAAATTAGTATACAAGTAGTAAATGAGAAGCACTAAATAAGTTGATGAATTAGGTGCATGTAGTCTCACAAAATGAAAGACAATGAAAGCATCATTGCTAAGTCCCCTCTTCCCTTAAAACACCCAAAAAAAAAAAAAAATAATCCAAGTCCAATGTTTCTTGGGCACTCATTTTTATTGATACTTATCTACTTCAATTCCTTTGACATTTTTATGTTTTATCAGAATTGTTTCCCACTTACCTGTCTCTCTTTTTCTTTACTTTGTTATGGTAAGAACAGTACTGTGATTTAAAGTCAAAAAGAACGTGCTGAGAATTCAGGGAGGACTTCACGTAATTTGAAATTCTGTCATTTTTGGATTCAATTACTTTTGTTCTAGGAATTTATATCACCAACTTAACTGGTAAAATGCAGGTGAAATTTTGGCAGTTAAAAGGTACTTGCCTTCATCTCATTTTGGTGGATACAAAATTCCTTCAGAAGAAAGATTAATGCAGCCTTGCCATTTTGCTGGGATTTCGTTTTCAGCAACTGAAAATGATATGTATAGACCAGCTGAGATGGTGAAACATGAGGAAGAGCATTCCTAGCAGTAGGCAATGAAACAGCAATTATGCAACCAAACCTTATATGTCTCCAATCAGCAGTCATACATTAAAAATAATAGATTCCCTAAACAATAAATCTGTACATGTAAAATTATCTCAAGAGCAGACAATGAAACTAAAATTACAAATCTCCCAAACCAAAGACTAATAGACAACTGATTGTACTAGTCACGTTCATGACAAGCATTAAACTGAACTCATGAGTTAGGTTTATTTAATCTCACAAAATGAAGAAAGAAAACCAAAGCATCATTGCTAACTTTTCCCACCCAATAATAAATATATATATATAATCCAAGCCCACATAGCTAAATCGTTTGAGGGAAAAGATGACAAAAAAAAAGTTCTTAAAAACTTGATTGTGCACACTGACGACATGAAAACCTGCTGTCATTTACATGAGAAAAGCCTTCTAATCAACAAAGTGGCATCCCACTAAACATGTTGTTGATTTGTGATTGAGAAGACTTGACTCAGAAGAGGGAATTGACTTAGATCTTGAACCAAATTCATATCTATATCTCCAAAACCACGAAAAATCCCATGTGAAATGCCCTCTCCTTTATACAAATACTCTATCTCCTTCTCTATCTTTGGTGTACCTTGCAAGAATTGAATTCCTTGGTTGGCCTGAGGCTGAAGCTGAACGTCAGTCCACAACTTGGGGCAGTTACTACTGCTGCTGATCATCCCTTTTGGTGGAAGTCCTCTACGTGCCTTCTTGATTCTTTCTTTCGCTTCAGCTGATTTTCCAGTAAGTCTTTGCACGAGATCGCGAAAATTTTCAACATCTGTCTTTATAACCTCAGGTGCAACTATGTGAATTATTCGTATTTTTGGCTTCAGCTTGGATATTATGTGAGAATCCTTGTGCAAGGCCAGCTGCTTAGAGTTTGCTGAGAAGCCTGAGAATAATGCATCATTTGTTTGTGGTTTGATCCTCTCCATTCTTCTCAACAATAACGAAAATAAAAGAAAGCAGGGGTGGAAAGAAAGAGACGTAGTTTGGTTATATCCAAGAAGAAGAAATTGGGGGATAGTTTATATACAGATGATTGATCATGAGCAACTAGCAAACTTTAATGTCCAATGGGAGTAATAAAAAGGGAAAAGCCTGGATAGAATAGATAAGAACTTTTTTTTTTTTTATCTACACAGGGGTGTCCGGGTCAATCCTTACGGGACCCGAATAATCCCCTGCGACCCGGCTAGACACCCCAACTCAGCCCAAGTACGATATGTGCACGGAGGAATCCAGCAGAGCAGAGACTCGATCTTGGGACCCCTCGATCACCGGTGAAAAGTGCTACCACTGGACCATTCACGCGGGGCGAATAGATAAGAACTTGTATGATAAGTTGTTGACAAGTGTGTGTTTCCGTACATATCATGTCATGGAGTTGAATTTCGTACTTTATGATCCTTTTGTCTAAGTAGTTTATCTTGGATAAACATAATTGTAGGTGCTTTCATTATCTAGCACCACAATAATTTCCAAATGAAATACAGGTATACAGTGACTAAAGTCAACTCTTGTAATGCATGTAATCAATTTTGGACTTATTCTCCATTGACTATTTAACCGATTATATATATATTCTAATTTTGAATAATTAGTTTTTGTGATATTTTTGGTTGCTTTTATATTTTCATTATAGATTTTTAATGACCAACAAAAATTAAAATATATATCACCCAAAAAATAGCTTTTACTGATTCTGATTATTTTTTATAATCAAATTTTGTAAAATTTAAAGCAATCGAGAACAAGACCTTTGTTTTTTAGCCTTTTAAAAAAAAAAAAAAAAAGAAAACCTTTCAGTCATTTAGCTCTATAGTGTTTTCCATGAATGTATCCTCTTTTGTTCTTTTATTTGGACCAACAACAGTTTTACACTGAATTTTCCGTTGGGAGTTGATATATAAGGGGTAAGTATCAAAAATTAATGCTCCAATTGCACTTTGTAAATCTGAAATTTCCTCATGCTCTAGCTTTAACTAATACTAAAAGAGATTTTTTCATCAGGTTTCTAGAAAGGTGTTGATATTTTGGTTAAGTTGGAAATTACTTGATACTGATTTTCATAGTGATACTTTTCTTTGAGCCCCTTTCTTTCTAAGAAAGTCAATTTCTCAAAATAATGACAATTTTTCATTAGGACATGTCAATTCTTAACTCTTGCATCCTAATTGCTCATTTTTTTTAAAAAGTGGACTTCTTTCTTGATAAATGATAATTATTAGATAGATAGAGAACTTGACTTTCTTCACTTCACGGCTTTGGTAGACTTTTTCAAATTAGTAATATCTCATGTACTTTTCATGCGATTGTGTTATCCCAAAATATAACAATTTTTGGGGTCTAAAATTCTCTGTGCAATTTTGATTGTTAAATCAGAATGTAATATTTTTTTTCATTTTTTTTAACTATTTGCTTTTGAAGACATCATTTGCATTGGAGTCATTGGTTGGCATAATAATGTTTTCCAAACCTTCTTTTGAGCTTCCTAGAAACAGCCCAAAACTTGAAATATCAAAAATATTGATACTATCATATGGAAACAAAACTATTATATACTCATGATATCATTACATTTAAGTTATAAAAGTGCAAAATTTTATACAAATATTTATATACATTGTATTATTCTGAATGGAATCCATAAATATTAATGAAGTAATCAGATCCATTTTTAGAAGGATAATAGAATAAATCAATTGGCTTATTTTACTTCTGCTACTCCAGGTCACCTTGTTTGTTGCTTTATGTGATCACCATTCACCATCTCCCCCAAAACCTTCCTGAAAAAAATCATTTAGCAGTCTAGATATGTCTTCTTTAAATTGAAAGTATCATGGATGGTGGAAAATCTGGTGAAATCATCAAATTTTAATAATTGAAAAATACTAGGAGTTTTGAATAAATCTCAATGATTTAAATAGTACGTACAATATCAATACCTTTAATTGCTTTGTTGCTTTCTTTATTTCATTTTCAATTTTTACTAAGACAAACAAAATGTAATTAATTAATACTATTAGAAAGGGTTGATTATGTATAAATCAAATACAATAACATTCTTTTAGTTTGTTTTTTCCTGCTTATGTGTAGGGTAGCATTTAATGTTGCTAATGACATGGTTTATGATTATAAAGCCTAGCTATTTGATTAAAATTTGTAAACTTTATTTTGTGAATGAAGTTTTGTTCCTCTTTTGTGGCTTAATTCATCATAACTGAGACAAAGTTCCATTTTTCTAACATTTAACGTGATTCATATTGAGATTGATTACTCTTGAAATGCATGCAATAGGTATCTAATTATTGTATCAAAAGGTAATCTGGGTGTCACAAAAACTCAGATTAAATTTTAATTACACGCTTATTCAACTAATTAGACTCATGGTATTTTACGAGACAATATAGATATATATAGATGGACATTTGGCATCTCTTGCTTAAAAGAATGTGGAAAGAAATGAGTATAAGGTTAATGAAGTTCTAAAGGAGCCATTAAACATAAGCTAACTAGCTAGAAAGATATTGGTTTAGTTTAATTGATTCAATATTGGATAAGCAATTAATTTTCTGCATAACAATGCTAAAAACTTGCATGCCACCATCCCATGAATTACACAAAAGACAACTTCGTTTATCTCAAGCATCTCGTTAGCATTTGAAGATTATTGGATTGATTTTGTCTTCCACAGAAATAACTTCGTTGAGCAATTTCTTCTAAATCACATTTTAACAAAGTTCCAAGACAATTTAGCGTTTCTTCTTGGAGTAGCAAGAGTAGCATCTCTTCATCTTAAGCATATTCAAGTGAATATCAACTTGACACAATTTAACCAAAAAAAAAAAAAGAAAAAATGATCTTCTTTTGGTTAATCTGATTGGGTGGTTTTTCTGCTTTGGTATGTTAAAATATTTCCAGGTCCAGACTGGGGGATCATGCATGAATGTGGTCTACACAATTTTTAAATGATCAAAATACTACATCATCACCAAAGATCTTTGCAATTCTCCATTGACAACCCACAAAATTGTCAACGGTTTTTACATGTTTATCAGAACCACTCATCACAGCGCCATTAATCCTCACACAATTCTGCGAACTTTTAGCCTTCTCTCAAGGAAAATGTTTGCTTCATCGATCATGCATACCATTATTACTCTTGTACCGTACAGACATGTGAAGTGTGCTAATGATGGCCAGATTGCTCATTACTGCAAAGTCCAGCTAAATAATCTACACCATTCTGCTTTTCTGAATTACACGAATTTGGGGCTAAAAAACCCCCCCACCAAGATGTGATTTACTAGCATAATGCACAAAAGAAATCACAAAGTTGTAAAATGTGAGACAAGTGTAATAATACACAGTTCCATGTGAAACCCCAATTGACAGCTTAAGATCTTGCTTGTACAATTCTTGAAAACAACCTTTTGGGCTAATCTTGGCAACGAACTAAGCTAGATTTGTAACGAGGACACAACTCAAATCTCAACGCTAGAACTATATATATTGGCAATAATGTACAGGTAAGTTTACTTTTCACAAGTTAAAAATACCAAACTTGCTCTTCAGTTTGCCGTGCTGTCCTTCTCCCACCACAGACACAAGACAAGCAGAGATGCACTCAGGTGCCACCTTAACTGCATTAGCATCAGGTTGACTTCACAGGCTTGTGCTGATGTTTACATGAATAACGCAATTCGTGGCATGTGAAGCGGCACATGAATGAATTGAGTGAAGGGAATCTATTGTGCCATTGGCTTTTGGCTAATCGGAGGAAATTAGATGAATATGGCAGACTCCAGAACTCTTTTTTTTTTTTGGCCCCCTTAATAAGATGACAAGGAACCGCATAATGGTGGGAATGATATAAACAAATTACAACTCGACAATAATACATCTAGACTCACAAATGATGGGACTGATTCTGACATATATTTAGAGGACATCCACTATGTGAGACTTGAATTTAAGATCTCTAATTCATTGATCTCAATTTTGACCACTAAACTAAAGTTGTGTTTATCGCAGCATGGACAAGTACTTAGATTTGATAAAATTTAGAAAATGGTGCTATTCTTTCATGGTATTCCAAGTTCATTCGCATGGTTGAGAGCTTATAAATAAGTTTCTCCATAGAGATAATTGATATAAGATTCATTCGCATAGTTGAGAGCTTACATGCAAGTTTCTCCATATACATAATTGATATAAAAGATTAAATCCTATCAATCTAAAAATCAAATTATAAGATAAAATCCCACTAACAAGACTGGACAGTTCTCTGTGGCATCTGCCATGCGAGCACTGAGGCAGCAAGAAGCAAAGGTGTATTGGCACAAATTGGTATGGAGTAAGCACTACATTCCAAGGTTGCTTGCATCGATCCTTTGGTTGCTATGTTGACAACTCTGGATAGGCTCAAAATTTGGGGAGTGCAAGTACCATCAGTTCTGTTTGCTGACAGTACAGGCCATTCGTTCATTGAACTTTCAGGGGGCAATACGCTTTGGAAGAAGAATTACAATGGGTGGCTCATCATTGGGTTGGAAACTCATTTGTTCATCAATTTAAGAGTCTTGTCTTTGCTGTCATGGTAGATCACATTTGGAAAGCTCGAAACATGGATCTTTTCAAAGCTAAGCCGGCAACAGCTGTTGGTATAATGCTAGGGATTGTTGACAAGGTTCATCATGTTGTACTTGGTTGGGGGAATATGCCAAAAACTCAATGATACTTGGAAGTTGGCTTTGAATGGGGTCTGCCATTTCAGTGTTTTCACTAGATAGATACTGATATGCGTTCATAGATAGAATTGTATCATGCGGTTTTACTCTTGTAAACCTTCATTTCTGATCTCAATAGAAATTCATAATTTTTTCCTAATAAAAGAAGAGACACGTAAGGTGAACAATTTCGTGCATTATTATATAATTTTTTTTTGAAAATTCTTTTATGTGAAAATACACACGTACGAAACCCAATTTACAACTTAAAGATCATAACTGTGCATTTGTTTTGAAAACAACTTTTTGGGCAAGTTTTGCAGTAAAAGTTAAGTGTACTTTTCACAAGTCAAATATAGCAAACCTACTCCTGAACTTTGGAGAAAGGGCATTTTAACATTGTAACAAGAATAGCACTAGATTTAATATTTGGAAAAATTTGAAAAAGGGAACAGGAAGAGTGGAAATTCATGAGTAGGTTTTAAGTATTAGGAAATTTAAAAATAAGGTATTGGTTATTATTCATAAACTACAAAAATATTTTTTGTTGTATGTAAAATTACGAATTTATATTCATGTGTTGTAAACACGAACACTTATACGTACACATTTATTACAGTTGCACATGTGTCGATTTAAATGAGAACATTTATAAGATGTATACCTATATTCATCAAAATATACAGTCTTATTCATTGAGATGTACGTTTATAGTCAACCGAATGCACGTTGTTGCGAGAGTAATTTAGTTAGTTATCGATAAATTTAGCATTTATTTCAATTCGTAAACAATAACCTCAAACCCCATTTACAAAAATTTCAAAACCTATACCCTACTTACAAACTTTCAATCTTCCTATTCATCCCTTTCTCCAAATCTTATTGCATGGTGGCAACATCGTTTGTCTTGAACAGGTGCAGCCCTCCTCCCCGCTAGACATGGACTCAGGCAGCATATAAATGTAATTTTATCGATTCGATGGCATTCCTAAGTAGGTGACTTTATTTCTGTAAAATAAAATGTTTCACCTTACAGTTGAGATACCTCGATTTTAGAGAAGTCAGAAGAGAAATCTTAGAGAATGATGAGACAAAACAATTGAAAGTTGGAACTCAATTTTAAGATAATACTTGAATTTTATTTAATTACCCAATTCTAAATCGCTGGCATGAAAGAAAGGATCTAATTCTTTACTGGATTGATTCTCCACTAAATAAGACATATATGGTATCAGGTGCCTAAAAGGCAGACACAGAACGTAATTGAATTTGGATTAACTGTACAAATAAAAATAGAGGCATCACCATTAACTAGTGTGGCCTTGATCGTTTCGACTGCCCACAATGGCCCAGGATGCAAGACTGGGGAAAGCCTCCAAACTTCTGTCTTACAATGTAGATTTGTATGTACGGAGTGGGCACACGGTTGTAGCCTGATCCCTTTTGGAGATTCAAGCCCACTGGAAGACTGGCAGGGCATATATATATATATATATATATATATATTGGGGGTGGTGTTTTGAATAGGCATTATTTCTACAAAAGTTATTTACTTGCATCTTAAATACATTTTTTTTATCACATTTTTTTATCTTCCTAATCACTTTTTTTTAGTTTCACACACTTTATATCACAAAAACTGCTATAGTAATTATTTCAAATAAACTCCTGTCCAAACACACTCAGTATTTCTTTGAGCACTTCATTTTTTTTTTTTTTTTTTGCCATGTTAAAGCCAAATGGAATTCAGGGTGAGCAACTTGGCCCCTTCAACTTTGAGAAATTTTCCTTTTAGGTTTATATTTTTGAAAAATTTTAAAACTTGCTTCTTATTTGCATCTCTTGAAATTTTCATGCTCATCTACTTTGCCCCTAATATTTTTTGAAATTCTCTTTCTTATCTATATTGCCCTCTCTCTCTATATATATATTTTTTTTAATGTCTCTTTCTTATTTACATTGCCCTCTCTTAATAAATTAAAAATTCTTAATTCTTACACTTCACTACAGTGTTGGATCTAATTAAAGCTAGTTATTGATGTAAATCCAACAATAAACTCTTTTGATATTTTTAAACTACCACTACATTATAATACAACTTAGATGTCAAAGAATAATAAAAATAACGTTAAACAAAAGTATGTTTAATATAAACACCATTTAGTTGGAAATTTAATATGATTACATTTGATGTGGTATCAGAAATTGAATCCCTGACCCTAGCTTTCTAGTTCTACCACTAATTTGGTCAAGTTGCCAACGCCAATTTGGTCAAGTTGCCACAAATTGTTAACTACACGGGACTACATTAAAGTATGCAATTTCTCCACAGAAGACAGCTCCTCCTCTGCAAAGTTAGGTGAAGATTGACAAATATTCAATACCCCTATGGGATATGACCAATCGCAGCCTTATAAAAATGTGAAAGACTTTCCGTTCAATCATATTTAAATACTTGCTGAACCAATCGATCTCGTAGTCAAATAACATATCTCAAAAACAAAATAAAATAAAACAAAAATATTGAAGCAGCCCAATTCTTTTTCTCTTTATTTCATACAGGTAATAAGTACCATATGACAAACCTTCAGACTAAAAGCAAATTGTAATGTTGTTGTTGAGAACAAATGAAGATCAATAATATATACAAAAATACAATGAGAATAGTGTCTTAACTCACAGAACAAACCAATACCTAAACACACCAAAGTTCAAAAAAATAATCACGAATTCATCAACAAAATCTTGGCATAATGTTTTATGCAAAGCTATAAAACTCTTATAATCAATCCTGCGCGGTTGACCTCTGTCTGGTGAGAGATCTTCCATCATTTACAGTGGGTGACGACTCGCCTCCGGCCGGCATATCCGCCAAAGCCGCGGCCATGCGCTGGATGCTGATGGACCGAGCTGGCTTGAAACTGAAGGACCTTTGTGTTTTTGAGAACACGTTGGAAGACTGAGATAGAACAAGATATACTAGAGCCTGAACTAAAACAAACAAGCCCACCTTGAACAGAATATCTCCCAAGTTTTCTACGATTTCCATGGCTAAATTTGAGCAAGAGGGATCAAGATAAAAAGGGTTTTGATCAGAAGCGTATACAAACCGATGAACGAAAGAAAATGAAGTTGAGATAAGTTTCGTGCAAAACCTCATCTTTTTATATATGAAGACCAGAGGAAGAAAATGAGATGGCCGGCACCTTTTGACTGGAGGGGGACCGAGGAAGGTACTACGAGCAGGAACTTTCCTGTCTAGAAGTGTGAACTATGAAACTTGAAACACGTGATAATTTGGGACAAGGGAGATGATCAGCTAAGGGTGTCAATCCTTGTAGTTTTGGAATTATTCGCAATAACTTCACAAATATCGTAGGAAAGTATACCATTATGATTTGACTTTTCGTGATTAAGTGCTTGAATTTGCAAGCAACAAGAGACTTGATTAAAGGCACTTTCTAGATTTCACCTTTCTGATAGACCCTTTTGCTTTCAGTTTCAGGGTAATTGGATTATCAACTTGGCAACTTTGGAGTCAGACAACTCGAATAATACATGTCACTATGCAAAGGGCCATATCCCAGACTTGATTTAAAGCAATATTTTGAGTTTGGGATATGGTCAAATGTCATTCATACGTGTCCTGCACCATCGATGATTTGAATAATTGTCAGCTTGACATGGTTCAAAGGCAACACGTAACGTAAGCAGCTTGATATTGACGGAGACTTTAGAGACATCGTCGCTCGTATCATAAGCATAAAAGAGGATTTCAATTTAGGGATAATTGTAGAAACCTCTCCCGAGGTTTCTAATAATTTCACTTAGCATCCTCTGAAGTTTCAAAAATTATACCTACTTAATTTGTCTATTTAAAATGATAATATTAATCTTAATATTTTAATAAAACTCCGTTGTTGCCATATTTATACGAAAAAAATGGGTTTTACAATTTTTTTCCCATTTTTCTTGTTATCCATTTCTCTTATATTTCATTAGAAAATCCGAAGAACTATCATTATTGTCCCTAACCACTATCCTGATCAAACGTTAAATTAGTAACACTTTTTTGATAACTTTTACGATAATTTTTATACACTGTTAATGTAAATATTTTTTTTTACACAAATAAATTTAGATCTATGCCATATAACATGAATTCAAAATTGAAATTTAAATCACACATGTGTGGCATACATTCAAGGCTGCTAGTGTAAAAAAATCACTGTATTGTTAGTGCATAAAAGATTAATCTTAACTTTTAATATCATCCCATTTTTACTAACATAAAAGATTAATCCTAACTTTTGATATCATTCAATTTTTTTGCAACTTTTATTTTTTTGTATCAAAATCAAGAATAAATCAATAATAACTGAAAACAAATGGCCCAAAATCATTATCAAACTAGTTCCACCATTGAACTAGACCACAACTTTTTAAAAAATCAAGATAGCACTTTCTTCTCTATTTTAAAAAGAATCTATATCTCCAATAAACCACTATGAAAAGTAGCCTAATCTAGCAATAGATTTATTATTATGATTGGTTATCAAATAAAAAATAATAACATGAAAATTTTGATACCCATTCCTTTCATAATTATGCCAAATTACTTTACAATTGTTTAGGAGAATAAATCGAACTTTATAAGATAAGGGCATTTTAGCATATTTATTAATTTTTTTACCCTATCTTAAGTTTTAATTACCAAAGTGTCAAATTAAGGAGGTAATTGTAATTTTTAAAACTTTGAGAGAATTAAATGAAATAGTGAGAAATCTCAAGAAAGGTTTTTGAAAATATCCCTTCAATTTAAAATGGCAAAAAAGTTGAAAGTTCATATTGCAGCACTGTTCGTGGCAACTTAGCATCCCTTCATTTTAGGTTTCTTGTCGTGGAACCTGTTAGTTTGCCAAGAATGTCCTACTGTAGTATCACCAAAAAGGTCCATGGCAGTATGTAAATTGTTTAGGTAACACTTTTACTGATTAACCAGCACGTTTAGTTTACAAGACTTTGGTTTAATGGTAAAAGTGGAGACCTCAAGAATTAGAGGTCCGGGTTCTAATCCCTTACCCCTCTCCTTACATTTGAAATTCTGCTCCTCCTTTAATAGAAAAAATAAAAAAAAAATGTTTACTGACATAATTTGAATGAGAGAATTACATTTTTTTTATTCCAAATATTCCGGGCATGTGCGCTTTTAGTCCCTAAAATTTTGAAAAAATCAAATATAGTTCCAAATGTTTTAATCTCTAAGCACATTTAGTCTTATTAAATGATTTTTATGAATTGCTACTGAAAACCGGTCATGTGTTGTTACATATTGGCAATTGATTTTTTATAAAGAATTTAAAAACTTGAAAAAGTGTTGCTGTCCATAATTTGTACTACAACAGGACTAATTACTGACATGCCAATACGTGAGTAATTAGTCTCTAGCCCACAAAAGCAAAAATTTGGTTAACAAAAAAAATTATGTTAAAGACTAATTATTGACGTGACCACACATGAGTAACTAACTAGTCATCTTTTATCATAGATTATGGTCAACGATATTCCATAAAAAATTTTTAATTTGTTTCAAAAATTAATTGCTAGCGCATGACATGATTCTAGTAGTAATTAGTAAAAATCAGTAGTGACTGGGACTAAAGATACATAAAAATTAAAACACATGGGACTAGATTTGCTGTCATCCAAACTTTAGGGATTGAAAACGCTCATACCCCAAACATTTAGGACCAAAATTACAATTCTCTCTAATTCGAGAACCTTATGAGCTACAGAATTCCATAGTTGAGAATGAGAAGCTTTAAAAGTTTTTTGTGTGTAAGAAACATATTTTATTCTCACGTTTTTCTTCCAAAAGTAAACGATAAAGTTTTATTAGCCGACAAAGTGAACCATGTCAACAAGGCGATTTTTGTTGTAGTGTACGCCGTACGCGTGCTCTCTCTCCCTTAATTCGAGCAAAGTGTGAACTGATGACTCCTTCCGGAAACGCAATACGTGCACGAATGGAAAACTGAAAGGATGTATGTATAATGCCAATTTTCCAACAGTTTATCTGTTAGAACTTCTATTCTTCCTCCAACTCTATGCTTTATCTTTTGCCTTGCAACTTTTATTCTTTTACATCCGTCACACTCCACTTTTCGTACAACAAAACAGGGTTTTTTTTTTTTTTTTTTTTTAATGAAGGCAAACCCCAACAAAACAGGTTTCTAATCTTTTGTTTTTCGCATTAATTACCGGTCATGTTTTTGGCAACAAAATATTTATTGGAAATAAGCTAACGAAAATTATCCAACAAAAAAACAAGCTGTTTATGCTCTTATACGTACGAACTATGGCTCAGTTTGACAAATGAGTTTTTTTGGATATTTGTTTAAAATTTTATTGCAACTTACTGTAGTAATTGTAGAAAAATTTGTAAAGCATGTAATTTTTAGATGTTTTCAAGTGTCTAGTAGTTTTTTGAGAAGTTTTTTGAAGTTACTGTAGTTAAAGTTGTTAAAAAACTTGTAATAGATAAATTTGGCTAAAAACTTATTTGCCAAACAAGCCCTAAGAATAAAACAATCACTAGTGTTGCAATTGAGATTCGACGGTACCACACTTAAAATTATGCCAACAAGTCTCTGACCCCAATTTAAGTTATCACGTGATATCTAATTTTTCAATGATTCAAATTGGCTTGGTTTAACCCCAAGTACTTTTTGTCCTTTTACAAATCTGAACCAAAAATTATGCTAGTGTTGTTTGAATTACCCTCGGTCAACGCATGCAATCCGAAGTTGTTCCCATGCTACGCAGTCAATTGAGTTTTAGAAAATAGCTCCCTAGAACACGTACTCGAACCCATAGGGTAAGTTTTCCTTTTTCATTTCAAGTAAGAAACTATAGTCGATCTATTTCTTCAAAGGAATGCTGAAAGGGTCGGCCCAACTTGTAAATGCCATGTCTTCGAATTCTGCATAACGAAAGCAGAGCCTCTTTTGCACCAAAGGGAAGGCAAACAGGCAAACAGGCAAACAGGCAAACTTGAGCATGCAAGGTTCCTGCTGTCACAGGATTCAATTCTTGGCGTGGTGTCAAAGAGTTGATGTCCAAGTCACAAGAGCTTAAAACATCTGCTATCTTATTTTCTTGAGAGGAGAATATGTGATGCAAATGCCAGAAGTCAAATTCTGGCCCCCAAAAAAAATGACTTCACATCTAGAGCCAACGATTTTAAACATAGAGTTGTACCAGCGTTACAACCTGCGCTTCATTCCATGTATACTAGGAGGAGACGATCACAAGCTACAAAAGTAAAATCAATAAAGCAACAGGCAAGACATGCTTCATAAGAAATAACTACCAAAAAGCCAGAAAACAATTATATGCAAGCTGGTAGGTCATATTTGACAATGGCAAAACTTCTGTCTGATGCCATTTGCCGATAGTGGAGAACTAAGGTAAGAGGAAATAGGGAAAAGGATCAGAAATAGCCGTATCAACAAAACTTCTACAGCTTTTTATACAATGCCTTGAAATCACCTAAGATTAAATATCAAATCTTGTTTTTTCTCTGTCTGAAGTAAGAATAATGGTTGCTGCGTCAGTGTGATGAAAACCGTGGTATTCGTCTGCCCATTCAAAATTGCATAGTTTTACAAAATTCAGAAATCACATTAGTCACAACCACCAGAAAGAGAAAGCGGGGGTGTGTTAGAAAACCACAAAATTCAATTGGTTTTCTTGTTCATGTTTTGGACAAGCTGTTTCATTTGGAATCTCCAAAACATGAAATAAGCCAATCCCAAACCGATCAGCACATACAACCAAATTTTCTCTTCTTTACTTTCCTTTTCTGACTCAACCTCCACTATACTAAACTCATCCCTCTCCACACTTCCCATCAAACCATCATTAACATGCCCATATAACACATATACCCTATCCTCCTCTCCCACTGTAACTGCACTGGCCTGCTTCTCAACCTCAAGGCCAGTTTCATCAAACACTACTCCTTCACCCCAACTATCTTCACTCTTGACAAAGTACAGCTTCTCTTGACTAACCACCAACAAAACCCCGTCACTTCTAACTGCAAGTCCATCACCTCCCATTAAGTCCTTGTTCAAAATCACCCTCCCTGCACTTCCGTCGTCAATGTCAACTTTATACAATTTACCACTATTTGATTGAACCACTAATAAATACCCCTTCGAGTTGAAAACCACACCATTTAAACCACACTTGTGATAGGATGTGGTAAGGTCCACTGGATAAGATTTGAAGACATTAGACCGCGAAAACACGGAAGCTTCCCCGTCGACATTGACTTTCCAAATGATGTCAGCCCCAGAGTTGGTGACATAAGCATTCCCAGAGAAATCAACGGCAACGTCATTTGCAACGTCGGAGGATTCATCTGAGTCAGATTTCACGTCTGGATCGCTGAGGAGAGGGGTTAGGAAGAGGCGGCGGCCAGAAGAGAGGTCGTAGGCAGCGAGGGCATTGTAGGCAGGGGAGGAGGGGCGGTGGACACAAACGAGGATGCGGTAGCGCTGGCGGTCAAGAGAGAGGCCCACAAAGGAGGAGTTAGGAGGGAGGAAAGAATCTGAGATGATGGTTTCAGCCACGCCAGCATCAGATACTGAGAGGAGGGTTGGGTGGCGGAGGGATCCGACTATGAAGTGTTGGGCTCTCGGGTCCCACTTGAATGACTCAGGGAAAAGATTATGTGATTGGAAATTGACGATGTGAGGTTTACGAGCAGAAGTAGGACCCACAAAAAAGATAGAGCCAAGGATGAGGAATCTGACAAGAGTGGCTGCACAGGTGCCTGAGAGAAGTCGGAGGAGGACAATGGAGATTTTGGGCATCATAATGATTGAAGTCTTCTCCTACGATTATCTTGCCAAGTGGTAGGATGTGTTGCGAAAGAAATGAACTCTGATGAGAAATTCATTGAAACATTTCATCAGGTGCTATACAAGAAAAAAAAATCAATTTCACCTACTTCTAACGAAGAATTAACCCTCCATAAACATGCTTACTCTCAAACTCAGCTAAACTAAGCTATGACAATGCAAACAAGAGAGGAATTAGTTTTCAGAAAATATGATCTTTATAGGCAAGAATTCAAAGGCAAAACACATAAACTAGTACTAAAGAAGCTGATACATTCGGAAAGCACAAAATTCCATAATATGCTTAATACAATCAGAACTTCTAGGTTGCTACTTTCACCCATAAAATTGAACAGTCATTCATAACATTAATCATTACTTTCAACTGGTGATTACTTCTGCTATTAGGTGAAGTGGATTCAAAAGCAACTCAATAATATTCTGTAACACGGTATAAAAGTTAACAAATTTTTCACTCCATTAAGCCTAGAAATTCCACCCAATATTCTACAATATGTTTGTAGCCATTTATTGAACTTCCAGTTCAACTGATGATGGTACCTGAATCGGTCCTGTGATTCTGCTAACGGGGGGTTTTTCTGCGTTTATTTGTCGGTCACAAAAACACAGCTGCCTGGTAATTGGTTTTGGTTTGTCTGGGTTCCCATCATGGCTGCACCAAAGATTTAAATAGGTTAATAAAAATTGTATCTTAATCAGTAAACCGACCAAAAATTTTGGAGATAAAGCAAGGTACAGATGATTAGAAGTACAAGAAAAGGAAGGCTTTAGTATGTGCTTACCTGGTTCCTTTGATTCATATCTCTGACAGAATATTTTCGTCACAACCAATGATCAAATATATGCTATAGATCAACCGATTTCAGCATCACAGGAGGGAGAGAGAAATAGTGAAACAGAGGAGAGGGAAGAAAGCAACGGAGACAAAAACAGCGAGAGAAAGGCCTGACGCCAGGCGGATTCGGGTGGGGAATAAGGGATTAAAGAGGAGTAGGAGGAGGCAGCGGCGGAAGGACGAGGAGAAGCCGCAGGAGGAGGTTGGGATACACAAGGGATATGGAGTACTTGACAAACGCCAATTGCTGAGAGGCTGAACAGAGAGACACCACCGCGCACTGAAATGACCAAATTGTCCCAGAACAAAAAAAAAGTTGCTAGAAAAGATAAAACACAAATAACTTAGGTAATTTTCTTTAGGGATAATTTCAGAAATCCCATTTCAAAAATCTCTCATGAGATTTCTAACAATTTCATTCGTCTCCTGAGACTTACAAAATAACACTAACCTCACTTGGCAGCATTGTGGGTCCAATTGCTTACACCACATAGGAGAAAATTACTCATATACGCTAAGATATTATGTCTTATTGAAAGTTAATATTTGACAATTAAGTAATTAGGACACTAGTTAATTGTTAGTAACTAATTCACGAAAATAACTGTTGAAATTTTTTTTAATTATAAATAGTAACCTGCACTTACAAAATGGTGTCAATTGATGTCTCAAAAATTTGTTCACTCTCAGAAATTGATACACCAAATTGATATTTGTTTGGATTTTTTCACTCTAAAAAATCTTCATAATTGCCTTGCAATTACACTTGCAATATTTATTATTGGTGCTAAAGGATATAGGTAAATTTCATGATTTCCCCCTTGTAACTTGACAAAGCTATAGTTTCTGCACCTATACTTCACCTTCAACTTGTGAAATCCACACAAAATCAATATTTTTCCACCTCAATTTTTGCTGCATCAAGTGAAAATGAGATCCATCTTAATACTTCTTATTGCCACATGCAAAATGGCAAATACAAGAAAAATAGCCGTTGTAATACAATGCACTAGCTGTTGGTCAAACTTTGTAGAGAAAGCCAATTGTTACTTATTTTTGGTTCCTCACTTTTATTAATATATTTTTATGTATTTACAATACAAGTTGTACACAAGTATAAAGGACATTTATGGAATAAAAATTTTATCTCTCTTCTCAAAGTACTTTCTTAATGGTATTTTTTCTGACTTGGACTGATTTTGTTGCCAAAACCTTAGCCTTATGGGAGATTAGTGTAATTTTGTAAACCTTAAAGGTGGTCAATGAAATTGTTGAAAATCTCAAGGGAGGTTTCTGAAATTATCCCTTTTTTATGAGTATATAAGTATATTAACAATGTATATACTATTACTGTTACATTCATGATACATGTGCAAACTTAAATTTTATATAGTGGTCATTTATTCAAAACTAATAGTATAAGCACAAATTTCATTATCTAAAATAAAAGACAAGAAAACTTGATAAATATCAAATGTATTATATCAAATATTATGAGGATTACAATTTTTGAATAAAAAAATTAATCTCCTGATTATTCTCTTCAAAAGACTTCAATCGAAGGGTAGACGAACCTCGTTCCCCAATCAAGACTAGCCCGCTTTAGTTAATAATTAGTTTTTTGGAATATGGCAGACTAGGGCTGTTGGAGTTGAGGCGCTGATAAATGTGCAATATGGCAGCTGCCAATGCCGATTTGGCCGGATGCAACGCTTTCTTTGGTTACTAGGAGGTTATCGGTTATGCTAAGCACAACCTAGGCCCCCTATAATCTATTGTCATATATTTTCGTATAAAATAAGATTAACAGTAATGTTTATGAAATAGCATTCTTAAAATTATAAATTACCAATCAAGCATGCATCTAACAATATACGACTAAACAAAACCAAAAAACCATTAGCATTGCAAAAGATAAGAGAAGATGACAAAAGATTGGCAAGTAGTGTTACAAACAGTTTGATATCTTCGAGTGCAAGTTAGTCTTACAGAGATAGGAGATGACTTGCTGAATGCTTAATATAAAGTGCAATGATAGGTTGCAATTACAAAAGATCACATATTGAGATCCATTAAGGTGCACAAAAGAACAATTTCTTAATAGATTTCAATATTATGTCAAAAGATGCAAGATTAGTAATTTAGCTGTAAAGTGCTTCAACATTAGCAAAATTAGCAATTTAAAAGGCTTCAAGGAAGTTCAGAGTTCATTATCACGCTACTTCTTCAAGGGACTTCCAGGTGCATTGGTGGGCAGCGAGGTAGATGTATTAGCTTCAGCAGAATTCAAACCAATTTCAAAAGGCACAGTTCCAAAAACCAAGGTCCTTTTTGCTATGGTCACTGGGGGTGGCACTTTGTTTGCAGTAGCAGAAGATTTAGCGATGGTATCAAGCAATTTTTTGGTTGATGGACTGAAAATTTCATTTTTTTTAGCAGACTGCAGGACAGTAGCATGAAGGTCTGGAATTTTTTCATTCGTTTCTACAGTCGTGATTGCCATTGGAATGTGAACTGATTCCTCAGTAGTGTATGCCTTGACAATATTATACTTGCCTTCTTTCTGGCCTTGATAATCTACCTCATAGTAGCGAATGAAACACACAATCGAATGCTTTCCGATTGCAGATGTAAGTTCAGCAGAAAGTTAAGCTCCTGCAATTTTTTGTTTTAAAGTATAAATAATTAGCAAGTGTATCCTGAAATATTAGCTATTTGTTTGGAAGTAGAAGTTCTTATTGTAGATTTTGACTTGGGCAATGATATTCAAATTCTGAATAACTTCATGTTGTGTAAAAAGAATTAGATCCCAATCATAAGTTATGGAAGGAAACAAAACATATTGTACCCAAGACATTATGGAATTACTGTGAATGATGGCAAAGACAAATAATCTTTTGTTTCCTACAATCATTACACTTTTACATGGTGAGAGCAGTATTTATACCCAAGAAAAGAAGCATAAAAATCAGATTATTCGGTAGTCATTACTTGTGCCTACTCATCAGACTATTCTGAGTCTGTTGAAATTATTTGACTCATTTTGGACATGCAGTTCCAATTCGATTGAGATTGGATCTGTCATGCGAAGAATGTCCAATGCTCTAATTGTCCAATCGTGCACAAACTTTATTAGTATCAAATATACAGTTTCAATTGTGCACAAAATTTCTATTTACTTATTTACTTAAAACTAATCAAATCTGACAAAGAAGGGGCTGGAAGAGGTAACTCGATATCCCATTTACGGGATAGCTCAATTGGACTCAAATCTCAGAACCTTATCCAGAAAAATGTACCCATTGACAGCTATCATTGTTTTCCCCTGAATACCACCACCCTTCTTTTGCTTTATAGGTTTCTTACAACTAAATTACTAATAAATTATCCTCATACAATAGTAAGAATTTGACAGTTTGTGGCCTCAGTAACTAATAGAAAAGGCTACAAGCATGAAAGTTCAAATTAGCAGGCAAACCAACTGGCTGAGTATCACACATAAAAACAACCAAAAAATGAAAAACAAAAATGAAACTGGCAATTCCACCAGAAATATAGTCCACATGATATAGGAAACTTTCAAGTCAGCAGAAATATAGAAAACTATAATGGGCAGCAGAAATATAGGCACATGAAGTTCATGGTAGTTGAAGGGAAAAATGAAGAAATCTATGAAGGGAAAAAGAATCGACAACATTAAGTAAGATGTATTAAGCTAGTAGTTATATTATCATGCAAGAGTTAAACTTGTAGCAAAAATTTTTGTTGCCAAGATTGTTAGCTTACCTCATTATGAGCTTCCCAGAATTGAAGAGCTGTAAATGGGATAAGCTTTTCAGCATCAAGGTCAAAGATAACAATGTTTATGGAGCCTGTACCATCATCCACAGTAATCCCAATTCGGGTCCTATTACACATTGGAAATAAAATATTATATTCTAATTTTTCATTACAAGAGAAGGAAACTTAATTTGGTAATTACCTTGCTACAACTTTACTCTCTTCTTTGCAAGATGAGCATCTCATAACCCATCCTACGTCAACATTGATAGCCTTTTGGCAGTTCTCACATGCTTCAAACCAGAATTTTTGTTGCCCAGGGATCAAACTGATTTTTCCTGTTATCCAAGATGTTTTCACCTAATAGATGTTTTTGTGAACAGAAAGAAGAACACCTGAGTCTTGCATTATTTTGGATGCCTAAAAGATATAAATCAGGATATAAATGAAAAGGGAAGATACATCTTTGAGTGTGTTAAGTGCATTGGCTACACTGATCATGTCATTAGCACTTGGAGGTGGCAACAGCTTAGATGAATCTTTGTATGTCATTTGTTGTATCAACTCTGCAATTTCTTCTTTATTTGCATTATACCTATCCAAAAAATTAATGCAACAGACTATAATTTATCAAAGGGATCTAGAAAAGTTTAACTTAAATGATCAAAGAACATACGTACCATTCTTTGAGTGCATTTGCTTCAGAAGTGGGAGGATTAATCAGAAGGTCACTCCCAGGCTTGGTTGTCAGAGATAAGTCTAATAATAAAAGCGATAGTTTTCATTAAGTAATAGAGCAATTTAAAAGCCAATGATTGGTATCTTCATTTTTGGCTTATTTTTTTAGGTGAATGGGTAGCTGAATGGGTTGCAGCCGCACAATTGTCAAAGGGTTGCAACAGGACACAAAAGAAGATTACCAAAGGGTTGTAGTCATCAACAGGCTCATTGGACTCTTAAAAATGTCATCAATCACTGGAGTTTGGAGTGGATGATGAAGAATGTTTGCATCAAGCTTTAAGGTTTTACCAATTTTCTCCTTTATTTATTGTGCTTTATTTGCAGAAAAAGTATAACTGTCAATATTAACAAAATCACCTTCTCAAATAAGCAATCATTTGTTTCACAAAAGATCACACAAAACAAATAGCACCAATAAACTTAAAATAAATGAAGCAGAAACTGAAAAAAAAACTACTAAAAAGAAAAGGGAAAAGTGAAATTTTACTTATGAAAATATAGTCACATAAATGAAGAAAAGCTATTCATAGATTTAAGAAAGACAACAAACTGACCTTCAAGTTAAAGGATTCCTTAGAGGAACCGCAGCAAAAGGAACCTATCAATTGAAGCATATATGTATATTAGAATTTATTAATCTATGTATTATTTATACGTGGAAAATTTGCCAAAAAAAAGGGGAAGATTTTTTCTCACCAAAGAGACTCCAGAGAACAAGATGTAAAGACTCGGAGGCTTCTTCTTGCAGTTCATAAGGCAGAGGAGCCAGCACCATGCATTGATAAATACGTCTATTCCATTTTTTTGATTTCATAAGTCACTGGAAAAGGTACAGGCTAAGTGAATAGGAAACCTATTTCTTATCATAACTGGAATAAGGGGAAAATCACATCTAAACAGATATTTCTCATTATAATCGTACGGCTGATGAGAATTGAATAAAAAGCATGATTTGAGCGGAAAATTGAATAGCAAAGCTAATGAGAATAGAATGCCATACCTAATCTAACAAAAAATCCCCAATTTCACTCCTTTAAAGTACAATTATCACGTGAGTGTCCAACAATTGGGCAACATGAAATTGATACAGAAATGGGTTAAGTAGTTCACTTGCTCCCAATTTTCCTCCTCTGAAGTACAAACACCATGTGAGTGATCAGCAAATCAAACGTCTGCAGGAGTAGCAATTGACCCACTGGCTTGAAGAAGGAACTCACAAAGCCCATCTCCCAAATCATGAAAAAATCCAAACTTTTTACATGCTTGAAGAGGGTTGCTGACCTGCTGGGTTTGATAGTATAGGCGTTAGGAATTGGACTTGCTCAGAATAGGTGCGCCGAATTTTTGCTCAGAATAGCCATGTGGTAGAGAGAAAGGAGGAAAAGGTTTCAACGGCAATCTGACTGAGAAAGAAACAGTGCAATGCACAGAAGGAAAAAGCTTCGGTCAAGTTGCAAGGAATATTTGACTTTGCCACTTGTTAGAGAATTAAGAAGCCTATAGCAAAAGATAAGGGGAGCACTAACGAGAATTGAGAAAGGAACGGTTCAATGCCAAAAGAAAGAAATATAAGGCTTCGGACAAGAGAAAGCTTTAGACAATTTGCAAGAAACATTGTACGTTGCCACTTGTCAGATAATTAAGAAGCCACATGGCATAAGGAAAGGAAAACACTAAACCTTGCTCCTTCTTATAAACAAGGTAGATATTATATTGGACCATATTACGCAATTTTTCTGTAAACTAAGCACCAACTCCTCCTCTATCAAGTTAGGCAAACCTTGTCAACTTTTGGATCAGTTTAGGATTGCCTAAAAGTTTCATCAATTATAGAATGGTGATCGGAAACAAATTATTTGATAGATAATTTTTTCAAAAAAAAATTTCGCTTGCATCATAAACACATTTCCCAATCTACCTTTTTATATTCTGAATCATCTTTTTATCTCACATACATCATATCACAAAAAGTATTACAGTAATTATTCTAAATAATTATTTGGAATAATACTCTATCCGAACAAAGTTAAACCATTTTGCCTTATTATATAGTATTGTTTGGTCTACCCCTCTTAAATTGTGAAAATCTATGCCTTTGGATAGGATATTATTTGAAATATTATTTAGAATAATTACTGTAGCACTTTTTATGATATGATATATGTGAAATAAAAACGTAATTGAAATACAAAAAAGGGAATTGAAAAATATATTTATAATGTAAATATTTCAGATAATTTTGTATCCAAGCAAATATGGCAATGTATGACTTTCACCAATGATCAAAATATCAAATAACTAATCCATCTTTTAAAATCGATCCCTCAGTAACATGATATTTCCACCAAAAAAATATATATTGAAGTAGCCAAAAACCTTTTCTGTTACTTTAAATCCAATAACAGTAAACTTCAAAGTCCCAAAAAAGAAAAGCAAATTATTTATTGTTGAGACCAACAGAAATCCATATTTACAAAAGAATCAAAAGAGTTGTGTTTCAACTACTCTCAAGGAACAAAGCAAAACCTAGAAGGCTAAAAACACCAAAATCAAAATACTAATAATAATAATCGTGAAATCACCCCCAAAATCTAGGCATAAAGTTTTATGGAAAACTATTCTACTCCTCCAGAATAATCAATCAGACTAATATTCCTGCAAGGTTGACTTCTGTCTGGTGAGAGATCTTCCATAATTAGCAGTAGGAGACGACTCTCCTCCGGCCGGGATATCCGCCAAAGCTGCCGCCATCCGCCGAATGCTGATCGACCGCGCAGGCTTGAAACTAAAGGACCTTTGTGTGTTGGAGAAGACGTTGGAAGACTGGGATAAAATAAGATACACTAGAGCTTGAACTAAAACAAACAAGCCCACTTTAAACAATACATCTCCCAAGTTTTCTACGATTTCCATGGCTAAAAATGATCGAGAAGAAAAGGGTTTTGATCAGAAGTGTAAACGACTTATGATCGAAAGAAAGAATATAGTTAAATAAGTTGAGATGAGCCTCATGCAAAACCTCCTTTTATACATGCAGCGTCGAGGAAGAAAAATGAAGGGGCGTAGTACCTCTTTGCAATGTTTTCAGAACCGGACCGGACCGGCCGGTTCGACCGGTTGGACCGCGAACCGGCCATGTCACCGGTCCGGTCTAATGTTAAAGCCGGAAGTTCATGGAGAACCGTTGAAACCCGGACGAACCGGACGAACCGTGCGAACCGTTAAGAACCGTGAACCGGCGGTTTTTTAAATTCTTCAACAAAATATCAAGAATGGTGTAGCTAAGATTCGAACCTGGGTCTCCAAGTTTAAATATGACAATCTTACCGCTAGACTGTACTTAAGTTTGTTGAGAATTCTACTTGACTAAAAAATATATTAAAACATCAAGTTCTTCTCTTATTTTTTTTTTCAATTTTTTCTTCTTAACCATTTTTAACCCAAATATCCACAACAAGATTTTCTCAAGTCTTCACCATTATTATCAGGTTATTATCTTTAGCAGATTGTAAACAAGTTGAAAATTTCAACTTTTCTTGTTTTCCAACATTTTAGTAAGTTTAATTTTTTTCTTTTCAAGGTTTTTTTCTATATTATTATCTTTAGTTGATTTTTTGCATTTTCTTCTTTTTCCCCTCAATTTTCATATGTTTCCCTCATTTTTGTTTTATTTTTATTCGATTAATTAAGGATGAAATTTTTGCAAAAGTAGTGCACATCCATGTAGGAATTGGGTAGGAATTACAAATAATAACATTGGGTTGGTCAAAAATATGGTAGTTGGCACATAATCGAAGCTATTGATAATTGAATTTAAAATAATTAATGGTATAGGATCATTGAATTTAATATAACATGTTAATTAGTAATTTTTAGTAGCAATTAATTTTTTATGTGTTTAACTGTATATTTGTTTTTCAAAAATTTTTAGTTTTTTTTAGTTTGAGCAATTAGATTTATATTTTTATAATAAAATTTTAACTTTTTCAGCTTAAGTTGATGAAATTGTGAAGGTGGTGTGGTTGCTTATCATGCCACTGATAAAAGTTTGCTATTCAAATAGTTTGTTTTAACTTGAACTCTTTTATGGATTTTTTTAAGGGTTGTAAAAGAATTTCAATATTTAATTTATTTATTTTTTGTGTTTTTATTTGTGATAATTGGTGCACATTTGGATTATATCTATTTATGTTTATAATGAATTTATGAAAACTTGTGGTGAATTATGATATTTTAATTATATTTATCATTTCATGTTTTGTGTATAACTTTTAGAAAATTTATTATTATCATAACTTAAATTAAGTTATGTTGGTAAAGTTCAAGTGTAGAATGAAATCTGCTTAGTACTTAACACCAAAAAAAAAAAAAACAGTGAACCTTTGAACCGGCCGGTTGGACCGGTCGGACCGGTCGAACCGCGAACCGGCCACATCTCCGGTTCACTGACCGGTCCGAGTTTAAAAACATTGCCTCTTTGACTAGAGGCCGGGACACAGGAGACAGGAACTTTCCTGTCTGCCTGGTAATATGCACCGTAGTTGTGACTTGTAGGACTTGCTAATATTGGAGATAATCAACCAGAGGCATTGACCACTTATCCTTGTACATTTGTTGTATAAATTCCTGATCGATTTAAATGTATCATTATGACTGGCTTTTAATGATTAAGAGCTAGAATTTGTGAGAATTTGGATTTCTATTTTTTTTTTTTGAAATTTTAGTAGAAAAAAGTGTACTACAAGGATTTGATTTGATGTATATGAAGTGAAAAAAGTAATTGAAAAATATATTTACGAAGAGCATTAAAATTTTGTCTTAGAAAATAACAATCCAAACGACTTTACATGTTTAACCATTTTCCCTCTCTTTTTTTTTTTTTTAACTCTGATTTGCCTAATGAATAATACGTTTATTGAGAAACTCTCGTGCTAAAAGATTGACTGCAATTATAGGGCATAAAATAATAAAGTTTCAGAATATGGTCAAATGTCAATATTACGTGCTGTGTGTATTGAATAATTTTCAAGGCAACACGTAAAAAGCCCTGACAATGACGGCAAACTCGCAAGTTAGGGACACCATTACTCATTCCCCTTTTCTCTTAGTTCTTTCTTTGAAAAAAAAAAAGAAGAAGAAGGATTTGGTGAAACATCATTGCTCAAATCATGAGTATAAAAAGGGGATAAATTTAAAATGGCTAAAAAATTATATAAGTTCAGACTAGTCAGAATTATTCAAGGCGGCTTCTGTAGTGGATAGTTTTCTTTTTTGATACTCTCAGTTTATGATTATTTTTATTTGTGTTCTCATTTCTTTCTTTGCAATTTTAGCGACTTGGGTTGATAGTTCTAGGTGTCATGTTAAAATAGTTCTTCTAGAAATTAAATTAAAGGTAGCGTCCATGATTCACCTTAGATGGTAAACGTTTTCATGCTTTTCCTCCTAAAGTTAACAAAACAGAACCATGTTAATTATGGGGCTTTTGCTGCAATTTTACGTTATAATTTCTACCTCTTACTCTTGTATCAACTGAATTAATTACAGGCACAACTCGCAATTAGCAAAATGATAGCCAACACAAGTTGGTCCAGTTAATAAGGATGAAACACTTCATCATGAAAGATCGAGTGTTTGAATGTCGTTGTCAATATGAAAACTGTATTGGTAAGCAATCTATAAAACCTTTATAAGGGGCTTACAATCCCAAAGATATGCCCTGATGCCAAACCCACCCAACCCTTGTAAGCAATATATGGTACAAAGGGCAAATCCTGACTCATGGCGGTGATTAGAGCCCAATATATTCAAACTTTTTCCTACCAAAAATTGAAAAAATGTGGTAGGATTTGTATCAAAGATGTCTCTGTTAGAACTTTATTCTTTTGTACAATTTACTTTGTATTAGATTGTATTGCATCCTTTACACACCAGTTTGTTTAGGGTAACAAACTATTTACACTTTTTTGCTTTTTGCATTAGTTAAACGTTACATTTTCCTCAACTCATTTGCTTGGGGAAGTGAACTAAATTGACATTTTTTCCAACACGAACTATTTGAGATCTTAACATAGTTTAAGTTAGGAGAGCAAATCATGTCAGGTCTGAATTACTTTTGGCCAACGCAATCAGTTCAAAGTTGTTCCACTTTTTTGCAGTAAATTTGAGTTCAGAAAAGAGGTCCCTTGAATATGTATTGAAAACCATAATAAAATTTTCCGTTTTGTTCTTAAGCAGGATTATAATACATCTATTTCATCGTTGCAATGGCATCCTGAAAGATATGTCCAACATACATATGCCATGTCAAAGAATCTTACATAACAAAAAGAAGAACCAAGATGTTGAAAGGCTTCTTCACGCAACCAACAAACGAGATGAGATAAACGAAAAGATTTGTGAAATCCAATGCTGCACGAAAGGGAAAGGCAAGCAGCAAATCAAGAATGCAAGATTTTTTTGCTGTCATAGGATCCAATTCTTCATATTTTCCACGTCATGATGGACAAATCACAAAGCTTAAAACATCAGATATTCTCTTTTGGAAAGGGGAATATGTGCTGCAAATGCCAGAAGTGAGTCAAATTCTGGTCCAATAAGGACAGAGTTTAAGGCAGGAGCCAACCTTTGATCTTTAAAACCACATGCATCATTGACATGCTCTTCTAGGTATAAGCAATGTAGCCATCAAGTTATACCATGGTTAAAACCTGTGATTCATTCCACACTAGGAGGGGATAATGCCAAGTTATAAGAGTGAAACAGATAAAGCAACTGCCAAAACATGCTTAAGAACAAGGGCTACCCAGAAAGATAACAAATTTAAAATGTGCAGGTAAGCGTCATACTTGGCAATCGCAAGCATTCTGGAGATGACATTTGGCCATAGTGAAGAACTAAGGCAAGAGGAAATAGGGAGAAGGATAGAAAGATCACCATAGCCTTACCAACCAAAACTTTTATAGCTTTTTAAATGATGAAATGTAACTGTCCTAAATTTTAACATCAAATCCTGCTCTATCTCGGTTTGAAAGAAAATAAATCAAAGTTTCAGGAATAATTGGTGCATACAAGTTTATTACAACCAATACTTTGACTCCTGTCAACTCTGTATCAGGAGGTGAAAATAAGAGGAGCTCTATACACTTGACATCATATTATTGCAAAGAAGCCTCATCCTTCAATGTCATTTAGACATGGCTAGGCAATTTACGTGCCGGCACCTAAGAGCTATAGCCTATACATAATCTGCAGATAAAATTCAAATTATGTTAGAAGGGAAGCCTTATTGCTGCTTGAAACAATCTGCAAAAACATGAAAATTGGATAGATAAAAACAAATTCCACAAACACAAAGTTTGTGGCTCACTGGTAGCAATGCACGCATGTCAAAGACCTTCCCAAGATCACATTATTGCTTTTCTGGGAGCAAACTGATTTCAAGTAAACATGAAAGCATCCACATAGACCACCAGAACTAAAGAATAATTAGATCGTTAGAGTAACTGATCATCGCAGGAATCTTCCATATTTGCAGAACCATCAATACACCCTAAAGTAGCAATAAAGTTATGATGAGGTGCTGGTACCAAAGCTAATGCATCAAGTCCTTCACCACAGTACAATGAAGCTGTACACAGGCATAAAACTTGTTGCCAGTATAATGTGGACGATACCCGCAGCTCATGGAATTTTACAAGCAGTGTCATAAAAAAAATATCAAGAGAAACTAAGTATAAATGCCGAAATTGTAACAGATAAAATGGGATTAAAACCTGATTGGCTGCAAGCAACTCAACCTGTGACCCAGACATACCAAACAACACTGCTTGGAGACAGTTGTAAAGAGGAAAGTTACAAAAAGAAAAAGAAAATAGTTTCTCATCCATAAATTCAGCCAGAGCCAGATTACAACTCCTAAATGCAGCACCCCGGAAACAATATAGAAAAAGTTTAGGTGTTAAAATGACATGAGTGACCACACGAGGACAAGTATAGAAAAAGTACGCTACTAGAATTTACTACTATGTGCTTGCAACTTATGTGCCATGCAGAATCATGTTATCCAAATCAAAAGGTCAAAGAGTGCCTTACTTTCAACAAAGACAACATGTTAAAGAGAAATGCTGCAAACACAACCAGAATTTACTACTACATAATAGCAAAATTCAAGCTTACAATTGTAGAGTAAAAAAGTTATCCCTAGTTCTATAAGCACAGGACATGTTGAAGAGCGCAGTACCTGCAAATGGGGCTGACGCACGAAAAAATTTCAGATTTTGATCATTTGTCTTTTTTAAGCTTATCTACCAAGTTCAAGACAGCCATAATTAGAGAATTACCAAGTGAACAACGGGAAAGTTATAAGCAGAAACACAATGAGTGCTGTCTGGGAATGTTTTTACTAAGACCACAAAGTCCCAAGCACAAACAAAAGCATTAGTAATTAATCTAACATGCAAAATCCAATTATATGATAAAGCTGCATAATTACAAGGCCACTCCAATACAAGCAACAGTATGCTCTTGACTCCTAGTCATTTAAGAGGGCATCAATCATCTACATCCTAAGCAACATTGCAATCGTAAGCAGTAACATCAGTTGCTACTGGTAAATTTGAAGCTTGATGATAGCCTAGAACAATGTTTACTTTTCTCCTTTCACATAATCGAAGACAATGGGTTTTGGAGTATGTATTCTAGTGGCCAGATAATTGGCACATGTGATAATCTGTACAAAAGACTTCCCAATAATGCCATGACAAAACAGAGGCCAAAACCTCAAAAAAATATATGAAACAGATCTAAAGCTTTAAATGAAGAAATGAACCAATTTCGACATTGACTTGAATTCAAACAGTCTATCCATTTTGGCAATTCACACGAATAAAACGTCCACAGTCACTTAATACCAGGCAATGTTTCCATTAACAATAATACCTGACAGGACAAAAAATCCAGGAATCAACATCACTTAACACATTTAAACACATATCACCAACATCACTTAACACATTTAACTCATTTAAACACATATCACCAACATCACTTAACACATTTAAACACAAATCACCAATTTACGTTTGAGCACCCAACAAAAGAATCAATTTTACCTCTAATCTTCTATGCAGAATGGCTTGAATAAAGACTTCCCAAAACTCAAGGCCTCACAGCATCCCCCTTTATCACTGCCTCTCCACCAGCCACACCAACACCAGTCTCCCCATCTCCACTTCCACTCCCGCTAGCACCGCCCTCCGTTGGCCACCTCGGCCAACTGGACACAGTCTCCGCACTATTAGCCCTCTCTACATGAGCCCCAATTCCACCACCCACACCAACACCCTCAGCCTCCCCAATCTGCGTTGGCGATAACAAAACGTCATTATCCCACTGAACCCTCCTATTCCAACTGCTACTATACTCCTCATCATCATTTCCATTGTTATACTGTTGCCTCCTCACAACATTCCTCAAAATACTAGTAAACCCGAATAAATCTTGCTCATCATCCAACAACTCATCCAACCTCGCCGCCCCAATAAAAGTCTCCCTCCCCCGTACTGCCTCATTCTTTTTCCTCTCATCAGACTCGCTAGGGAGCCTGTACCTACAAACCGGGCACGAATTATTCATCTCGAGCCAGGGGACAATGCAATCAGCATGATAAGTATGATTACAAGGCAATACTTTTGCCTCAGAAGATACATGAAACTGGTCTTTACAGACTGGGCAGACTAAAGAGGGATCTAAATCAAGAAATGCAGAGTCTACAATTACATGGCTGAGGGATTCTATAGCATGTTTGGAAGCTGGGGAGTTGAATTGAGGTGGGGTGGGGTTGGTTTGGTTGGGGATGTTGTTGGCGTTGGTCATGAGGTGGTGGATGAGGCGGTGGAGATATGGGCTTTCCAGGAGGAAGGTGTCTTCGGAGGGGCTTATGGGATCCATTGGGGAAAAGGGTTCAAAGAATGATAGGGGATTTGGGTAGAGATTGGTGGGGTTGGGATGGGGAGAAGGGGTGAAGGAGTCCATTTGTTCAAGAAAGTCATGGCGGCAGTGAGGGCAGATAGGTGGAAAAGTGGTGGTGGAGGTGGTGGAAGGGGTGGAGGAGCAGAGAGGTTCGAGGAGGACACTCATGTCACATTCATGGCACCAGTAAGTCTGGTGGTGGACGGTGGTGGAGTTGGTAGCTCCGGCGACGGTGGCGGCAGTGCTGTTGTTATTGGTGGTGGTGGTGGTGGTGGGTGGGGATATTGACATTTTTTTTTGGCGTGAGTCGCGGGGAATTAAAATAATTCAGGAGGATTTATTTTACCGGGTAAAGGAATTTTTTGGTACTTTATTCTCAAGTGCGAGGGAAGCGGTGAAACCAAGTTAAAGATATAAAACGGAAAAAACAAGTAAAGGGTCCGTTTGTTCTTAGATCTAGGGTCCGTTTGATAACTCATTGCTGAAAATTAATTCATTCATAAGGGGGTCTCTTACCCCTTGAGCCATTTGTTTGTACAGCTAGTTTTAGGGTCCGTCTGATAAGTCTATTGCTGAAAATTAATTCACTCGTAGCTTTTTTGGATTCATAATAAAATGTTTTACCCTTTGATATATTAAGCACTAATTTTTTTTTTATTTTTGGACACAGAAGTATCCTACTTACGCTAGACCAGTCCTCCTGCGGTAATGCAGAGCTCATCCAAAAAATGTATCACACAGTAACCAGCGGGAGTCAAACTGGCAACCTTTGCCTAAAGACCCAAAGAGGTTACCAGCAAATTGGGGGCAAAAAAGCACTACTTAATTAGTATATATAATTTTAAGTGAAAATTTTTCACTTAATCTTTTAAATTGATTACACATACTACACCTTTCATATAAATAATACACACAGAGACATAAATGCATGCACACACAGCCTCTTCTACACAAATATATGCACTTAAACACCATTTTTTATTATTTCATTATTCTCTTTCTCACACACGCATACATTTTTTTCTCCACATACACAAATAAAGGCAATTTTTTTAAAAATAGAAACATAATATTTGTGCAATATTTCAATTCAGTGTCATAATCCAATTAGTTATCAAACATGTATAACTTAAACAATTCAGTAACTTAATACTTTCAACATTAATTTTTAGATTTCAGACTTTAATTTGCAGTTTATCAAACGAGCCCTGAATTGTTAAATGACAGATTTAATACATTTGAGTGTGTAATACACTGTGTATCACATTAAGTGTCACTTATTTCTTTTCCCAACTTTCAATCTTTACCTACAAAATTCGAGTATTCGACGGTAAAGACTGTAACCAAGAATAATTTCCACAAATGTGTCCAGCATTTTTTGAGAATTTTAATTAGTGACCACTCAAACAATCCGATTAAAGAAGAGCGGACTGAAACATGTGACAAAGGTAGGGTCCATCACTATATTTTGGAAAGTGGGGTCCATCAGTTTGTCGTGCGCTGTACTGTAGGTCATTTTGGTTGGACGCGTCAACTTCATGAATCGACAGATCGACACTGAAAAACGATCTGTTTTAGAGAAGTACATATCAATGAAAAGTAGAATAAACAGCGTCGCTTTGGCCGAGTGGTTAAGGCGTGTGCCTGCTAAGTACATGGGGTTTCCCCGCGAGAGTTCGAATCTCTCAGGCGACGATTTCTTTTTCCCACTTTTTGCAGTCTACACAAAACTGAATCTACTTTTATTTTTGGTGGGATTTTGCTTGTTTAGCAGAAAGTTAATAGCTAATGGAAGAATCTGCAGGATGCTAATTACATAAATTGAGTTAAAGCATAATTACGGAATGAGGAGTATTACGTTTTGATGCATGAAATTGAGGTCCTCGTTCTTTTGGGAAATAGTAGACATAGATGGTTGGAAAGTGTTATCATCATCCTGTGTAATTGGCCAAGAATCGCTATCATGGGATAAAAAGTAGTTTTACATTACTTTCATGCTTTTGAGTAAAGTTTTTGCACAAGTCGCGTACAAATCGTAAGAGGTGTGTCTCAATGTGGAACTGTGGATGACAGTGACTTTTGCAATTGCACGACACAAGTTAAGTTCAATGAGGATTTATAAAATCCAAAATAATTTTGAGTAGTTGATTTGAAGCCTAACTTTAGGTGTTCTTAAGCATTTTACGGTTAAAAAAGATTTCATTCTTCTTATAAGGCCTAGAGGTCTTTTTGGAATAACTTCTTTTTTCTAAAATATCTAACTCATAATCATGGATTTGATTTTTTTTTTCAAACAGCTTCCTAAATTTTGATTTTGATTGAGTGGTTTTAAAGTTGAAGCATTGTATAGCTCCTCGGTGTTGAAGTTTAACAAGAAATTATTGATGTGTATTTTCTTTTTCTTTTGGTAGGAAGAAGTACGTATGGATTCCGTTACAATCACTATTATAAGACAAAAAACATGTTTTCGATATCATAAGATGCTTACATAAGTTTCTACAGATAACCGACCAACCCAATTTTTACACCGATAACGGAACTAAAACACACTTGTTTGGATAGGAGGTTATTTGAAATAATTACTGTAATACTTTTTTTGATGTGATATATGTAAGATAAAAAGATGGTTGGAAATTGTGTTGATGATGTAAGTAGAACAAAATTTGAATTTTTTTTTGCAAATCTTTCTATCCAAACAAACTCAATGAAGAAGTGATTCATCCTTGTCAATTGAGCTAACTTGTACTAGCATTGACGTGTATAGTTTGGTGTTGGGGATAAGACTAATACCAAGGTCCCTCCATCTATACAAGTCTAATGGATCCATGGTAGTCAAAAAGTGGAGAAATAAAACTGTAATCAAATCCAACCAAAATCCACAATGTTAGGATGAGTACAAATGAAGTGCATCAAAATAATACTACAAATAACCCATGGTGTTGCGTTTGAATTGAGCTATTTTTCAAAAATCAGTTTTCAAATACAATGTTATAATAATACACATATAAAAGCAATTCCAAATACAACTCATCCATGAAATATATCAAAAGCAACTCACAAATATATAAAAAGAATTTAAAAACATATAAATTTTACAACATCTTTCACCTATTACCACCGCCCACTACCGCCAACGTCACTGCCACTGCCACCATAGTCCTCCCTCTCCTTCCTTCTTCTCTCTTCTCCTTCCCTTTTCCTCCTCTCCTCCCCTTTTCTACCATTCCCACCCCCTCTCTTCTCCTCCCACCCTATCTGGCCTCGACTAGATTGCAACGAGGAAGAGGGGAGGGGAGGATGAAGGAGAGAGAGAAGAAAGAGGGAGGAGGGAAAAGAGGGAGGGGGTGGTGGTGGTTGTGAGCGATAGTATTAATTTTTAAAAAGTACTTTAAAAATTTTTAAAATTTTAAAAGATAGGCTAAAATATATTCCAAAAATCCCTCAAAAAACATCACAAAAAACATATACAATAAAATATACACTGTAATAATAAAATATTTTTAAAACACTTTCAAAAACAACTAATTCAAACGGGACGTGGCATATAAACAGTGAAAACAACAAACAATTTGAAATCCTAATTTTAACCGTGAGAGCAGCTTAAGGATAACTCCTGGCCATCTGGGCTAACCCAACTGATTCATAATTACATGATACCACAAATTACCTAACTTGAGCGAAATTGGGTCTGAATTGGCAGGCTTCTTTGCCTTGGCCAGGGAGAGGTTTTGTAGTTGTCCTTCTCCTTGATTTGACCCAAACTGGTAGTGGAAGACTCACAAATTAATTGAGTAAATTGGCAAAATGACTAGTTAATGGTGCTTTGCAAGAAATGATTCTTAGGTTAAACTTCAAACTTTGACCCAAATAATCCCTAAAAAGAAGAAAAATAACTTCAATTTCTGATATATGGGAGTCCAAAAAAAAAAAATTAGACACTGCTTCAAGCCTCCAAGCTTTTAAGATTGTATGCTAAATCTTTATGTATTAAAAGAAATATATTATTCCTTTCAAGTTTTAAGTGCTTTAGTGGTAGGGGCAAAAGAAAAGAAAGATTATTTAATCGCCCAAAATTTCCTTTTCTTCTCTTAACAGTCAAATTCTAAATCATCTTCGTCCATTAAATAAATATCCTCACTTTTTTGTAAGTTTGAGGGTAACCATGTAAAGGGATATAGACCCATATAACTCTTTAAGTGGGACTAATTCCAGTCCCTCTCATTCTAAAGTTACACCTAGAAATTAGTGGAACAATTGATAAGGTTTTGCGATTCCAAAATTATCAATATATAAATTGAGAAATCAAATGAATTTCCAAGGCCACAAAATTTTCAACATAAGTCATAAATTGATTTCTTTATCCCTTGCCATAACAACTTTCATAATTAAAAGGGTTTGTATTCCTTTAATTACTACGTCCCCAATGCAAAATGGATTTGGTGATCTTACTTACCACTCGGTCAATTCCAGTTAGCATATTTCAATCTTACCAAGCTACTAAAGGATGAACAGAACTACTTGATATTCTAACCGAACTCAACTTGATAAGAGTTTGTTCTAGTTTAGTTTGCTAACTAATCAAATCAACTTTGAACAACATTTTATATTGGATAACATTCAAATTCGATAAAAAAAAAAACTCATTCAAAGTTGGTTTGGTGAATAAACAAGTTAAGTTTAAACAAATTTTGAACTCTTTAAAACAACCAAACAAGTTTTAACATTAGAATGTTGGATTTGATTAAGCTCATCTACTCCCTACTAGGGCTGATGCTGAATCGAGTGGCTTCACTTGAGCTCGCAAGCTATTCGGTCAGCAGCTCGGTTCGAGCTCGTTTTGATCGAGTTCGAGCTCGAATTTCAATATTTTGCACTCGAAAGCTCGATGAGCCTAATCGAGTTTTTTATAATATATATTTTTAATTTTTATTATTGTGAAATGTTAATAATATCCTTTATTTAAAATTATATATAAAATATTAATTTTTATTACGTGAACTTGATTAGACTTGATTTGAGCTCGAATAAGATCGATTGAACTTGATTTGAATTGATTACATTTAATTAAACTCGAGTTCGAGTTCGAACTGGAGTAACGTAACTTGATATCGAGTTCGAGCTCAAATTCTAAAAGCTCGACAAACTCGAGCTCGATCTCGAGTTTAGTTATTTTACTACTCGAGTTCAACTTGACTCGACTCGAACGCATCCTAGTCCCTACTTCTCATCCAATTATTTGGTTGGCTAATTTTACTAGCTCTCCCATCTATGCTACATGGAGTTGAAGTTCTTGTAAGATCTTCTCCACTTTCTCGTTTGATGAATTGGGCCAACAATGCCTACAAGAATACATGAGCAGGCCCAGTAGGGTTTTCTTTTGGGGGCCAGCCGAGCGCCTAGATTTGCCACGGCAGCGTAATTGCTCAGGATTCCCAACTTTAAAACCCTTCGCTAAGTTCATCTCCACATCTTCACGCTCACATCGGAAGCAATTTCCGACGATCAGATACGTATTTTTGTTCATCGGTCATGAACTTTTACATGATTTCTGCAATTGCTTTTCTTTGGATCTTTCACAATTTTTATGAATTTGTTCCAATAATTGAGTTTGGATGTTAGGTAGAACTATCATTGGTTAAGAAAATTGGGTTTCCTCGGAGTAAATGAGTTAAACTTTCCAAGATTTATGCAATAGTTGTTTTTTTTTTCTTCAAATTTCTGTGTATTTATTTTCATGGAAAATGGTTGTTGTTTGGGTATGAAGGGGCAACAAATTAGAGTCTCTGATTCGCTTTCTTGATAGCGTTTTCAGTGCTGTACGTTGCCGATAACGAAAATGGGGCGGAGATTCTGGCATGGGCTATTGATTTTTTTCAGGCTTATGCATTCAGATGTCCCAACATTGTAATCTTTTCAATTTTCTTAACCTTGTTGAGGTAGATTGGAACAGTTTTCCATAGCTTGTTCTGATTGAATGCTCATGCAGGTTAAGTAGACTATTTTTAGGTATTAATTACCTAAAGCTTGATGCTTGTTGCCATTAGTGTCTTGGAATGTTCTGAATGCAAAACGGCTTATTGTAGATTATTGGGAAAAAGCTTGGTTCCTTGTCCTTTGTAATGGACAAGGGCTATCTTACATCCAAAACTTAGGTGCCTAGTTGGAACTTGGAAGTAGGGTACACCTTGGCTGTGCCAAGTGATATTTCAGAGGTGCTTATAGGAGGAAAGTTATGATGGGTAGCATGCAATTCAATGGCCATCTATGCCAACACATGGAGCAGGTGGCGCCATGGTTTTGGTGCTACATCATGCTTGACAAGCAGACTGTTGTCCTTGATACCCTAGCTTGTTAAGCTTTAACATTTTATAAAAAATGGAGTGCTCAAATGAAGTTAATAAATGATCTTCTGTGTCAAGTTTCAGTTGTGTTTTGGAAATATCATGATCGTAAGATAGAGATTGATTTCATATCAAGCATATGAATATTCCAACAGCAATTTTAAGATGCGTAAAAGCTGTTAATCTCACATGCGCTCACACACTCACACTCCAGCTCCCCAAACCCTCCCCTTTCAGGTTCATCATTTGCCATCTGTATACTATTTGTACATCAAATTTGCTTGTTTGTGGAAATGATTGCTGTCATTTGGTTGCTGAATTATTAAATTGTCTTCAGTATGGTTCGATTCTCTGCATTTATTAGTTGTGTAGTTCCTTGCGAGTACCGGATGATCAATACATTAGTTGGGTATTCGCTATTTGAGGTAAACCTATGGATAAAGGAGAGTAATGCATGGGGAGTTATGCAAATGCCAAAGTCTTACTACTTCCTGCCCTTCATCATTGTGTAATTCGTTGAATTGACTCTGTTGAAGGATTTTGCACTTAAAGATGTTTTAGGGTCACCCTGCAAATTGAACTGATGAGGCGCATATGACATTCTTGCTTAGTTTCCTGTTTTAAATGATTGCTTCCTGGACTCTAGCTAATCTCTGATTTTTCCACAGGGCCACAACTGAATAGTCTGTGATCTCCATGTCCTAAATGAAGTTGATGTATCATCTAATCATCCATATATCCAGTTTCAGTTCATTGTTCTGCGAATGTGGATTCTGTTAGGACTTGTGACAGTCCAAAATCGACATTGAAATTCTGCATTGGATAATCTATCAGGTTTAATGTTTTGCTAAAGATCTCATGTTAATGCACATGGATGGTTCATGCTTTCAATTTTCAGGTTAAAGCTTTGCAGTGGCTCTTGTAGGCAAATTCCAAATTGAACCTTTGCAGTAGTATTAGGCATACAAGCCTTCTGCATGAACTCATAGGACTTAATACACAGTTGAGGACAGCGATGAACTAGTACCGCAAAGCCAATGGTGGTGAGGGCCGAATAATCAAAATTTAAAACCAAAAATCATCTACCCTTCAAGCATATGGCTAATATGGACACATAATTTGAATGCATCCTAGTATTAAGAACTGAACAATGAACTCTCAAAATGTTTATAAATCATATATCGGGTTCTCAAATTCTACACACATTGTTCAATCTTATGCTCAAAGTATAGCGCATAAATCCATGTTACAAGGTTCTATTGCTGCCTTATTGCATCGTACAGAATTTACACTTAATTTGAGACAAAATATACAAGCAGCAAGGCCAAGAAAATCCCAACGGGCCTAGCCTTCTTATTTCTTCTGTTCGACGAAGTACCCGTATTACATCAACCAGAATTAACCTTGGACGCCTCGAGATCAGCAGCTTGTTTGAGGAAGCTATCATCGTCATCTTCAAGAGCCATCTGAATAGGGCAGGTGCCGAGCCCATCAGCTATGGCCAACATAATTTTCATCATTTCGTTCCTAAACTCTTCCCGATCGATCGTCCCGCTGTTATCGCAATCGAACTTCTCAAAAATCGATTCGTACAGCTTAGTCAGCTCCTCCGGCGGCGTGGCCACGTCGACTCCGAAGTGGGTTTCCAGGAGCCGAAATGACTCGAAGGCTTTCCGCAACTCTGAGCGGGATAAAACGCCGTCGTTGTTCAAGTCTAAGGCCGCGAATTTCTCGTCGGCGCTCTTGTTGAACTCGGCTTCGTTGGTGACGAAGTCTCGGACTGTTGAGCCGTCGATTATCACCACCCCCATCTCTCGGTTCTCTCTGTGAGGCCAAGTGTGTGTTTTCTCGCGTGTGTGTTTTCTCGCGTGTGTTAGTGCGTGTTCTTGTGTGAAGCGGTGAGTTGTGGGAGCCGGATTTATAATTGGGAGAAACAAAGAGGAATTTTTTAAATCATTTTTGTTTAATTGAATCGAGATATTTTCGCGAGACTGTTGAAAAGGAGACGCATTTGATTTCGAACCACGTCTTTGCTTCACGGACCGACGTTTCGGGCACGTGGTTTTGTTTGGTGGGAGCTTCTTGTCAATTGTTGGTCAAAACAGGACATGTTCCATTGCTATGTTACTTGCCAATTGTCTGTCTTCCAAACTTTTTTTTTCCTCTACTTATTTGTTGAAGGGACTCTTACGGGAGTAAATCTTATATACACTAATTTACGATGTATATATTATTACAATTGAATATATGATATATATATATAATTTAAATTTTAAATTTAAATTTGAATTATATTTGTGATGGAAATGATTTTTTTTTTGGGGTATAATGAACAATGCAATTCGTTAAAAATAAAATAAAATCACTTTAGTGCCATCATCCGGGAGAGGGATACTCCCCTATTGTCTTCCAGAAGAAAGAGAATACAAAGAAGGGTTACTATTAGGGATGTGCCCTAATTGTCCCGTAAGTGTTCTTCACTGGGATCAGGGGCACTCTGACAATTATTTTGAACATTGTAACATTTTTTATACGGAGTTTAATTTTATGTGAACTAGACACATAATTATTATGCATGGAATTCACATAAATAGTAACAAAATATCACACCTCTATTATTATTATAAGGAATAAGAACACTCAAGCAATTTAATTAAAATCACAAAACGTTAAAAAAATGTCACAGGATTCGGGTACAATTGATCTGATAATCGTTCATGCCCCGCACTCTCCTTCATCATGGCATGGACAAAAGAAAGAGAATACAAGGAGATGGCAAGCGGGGGCGAACAATAAAAATTCCATTTGGTTGCGGTTCTTCTTCATCAGTGCATTGAAATAACGGTTGGCTTCTCGAAAACGATATGGGCTGCCGTAACTGTCGCACTAGCGTTCTTCACCGATTCGTTGAAAATTGATAAATTAACATAGAGATTTATATCGACATAAACAATTCTACTTGGGCTCTTGCTTAAAACAAAGGGTTCTGAATGAATTATGGACTGACTAACAAAGTTGACCCTATAATTGGTTTCTTCCTTCGAGTCTATAACACTATTAAGCTGGAAGATGCCATGTACGTACCTACCGTGCATCACGGAAGACTAAGAAACCGGGGTTACGTTGATGAGGCCACTTGTAGAATATGAATCTATGGACGTCTTTTCTGAGTGTCCCTCGATTGCTTGTATTTGACAATATCTAGAGGAATTCTTACGCTAACTGGACACCATATTCAAAAGGTTTTTGACAGTTCTTGGTCAGATTAACATGCTTCCTCTAGCTATGACTAAAAGCCAAGAATACAAGACTCTGTTTCAATGAAGTTCCAAATCAGCTGCTGAAACACTTTAGGTTGTGGTTTTTTTTTTTTTTTTGTCTAACGGCAATAATTTACGCTACTCCTATAACTGGACTTGTACAGGGGATGAGTAGGTCCAAAAAGTTGCTTGAGTCACTAGATTTTTTATTATTCCAACTCTTCAAAATTATTCATTTGACTAAATCTAAAGTGGAATAGCAAGAGCGGTGTACAACAAATTTAAAGTCACATCACCAAGAAATTGCAAAATAAAAGTATAATAAGGGAAGAAGGTTTGAGGGAGAAGAAGGAGGATTGATGCAGATAGAATTGGATGCAAATGCAGTATTGCAGCTGGTGATAATTTACTAGATTCTTCTTTTGGTTACTTTTCTTATGCGGAAAGTATATATGAAAGAATATTTATGTCCTCGAAATAAGACATCAATAGTTTGCTGCAAGACTCAAAAGTAGTGTCCAGACAGAGTTCAATTTCGTTGATTAGAATTTTATCCACCACCTGTGTAAAAGTGCAATAAACTGTTGATAGATTTTACGTAACAATTTCTTCGATACATTTTTTTTTATCTCACGTATATTACATTACATCATCGTTATAACATATCTTTCTAAAAAAGATCAGAAACTTACGATCCAAACAAGAAGATTTCAGTTCCCTTCTTAATAATAAGGGAATATGTTAAAGTCTAACCACATACGATTGTATTTGATCACTGACCATTTTATATATTAACAAATTAAGAAGCAAGTGCACACCATAACATCCTCAATTCTTAATTGATTCCACAAGGAGATGACGAAGCATCAACTCTGGTGATTTAACATACGTCTCTTTCAATTCAATTCCTCATCAACTGAAATTCTTGTTCTTACATATATGATGATTCATGCGATTTGAACTTTATAATAGTCCGTCCATTTTCGAAAATCCTTCACGGATTCGAACCTAAACATTGCAAAATGAGCTGCATTCCAACCTTAGAATCACTCTGAATTGAAACATGCCCCCAGTCTTTCAGTACAACAACCTGTTACATATAATACAGACGGATTTCTATTGTTTCCTTCAAATTTTACTATCTCACGAATTTGCACGAGTTGCAAGCCTAACTCACGAATTTGATTAAACAATGATTCTGGATTAAAAAGTCCAAAAGATTCCTAGGATTAGCTTTCCATGCTAAAATGGGTTCCCAGGACTGCAAACAAGAATTAGTTTTTCATGTTAAAACATCTAACGGTATGGATTTTTCATCGGATTCTCCACCAGATTTTATAGAGCAATTCGTGCCGGATGATTTCTAGCAATCTCTAATAATAGTCATCTTTTTTTTTTCTTAAATATAAAAGTCCAAAATTTTCAAGAACATAAAATATGCCTCAATATATGTACACATATATATATATATGCGTGCGTGTGACAACCAAAAAATTGTAGTAAAAGTAAGCCAAGAAAAGGAATTCAGTCCCACGTACATAAGACTAGTCGAACTTTTCAAGAACATAAAATAAGCCTCAAAAGTACAACTAATTAAACAAAAACGATATTCAGCTCAGGAATGATGCAGCGAATCAGTCAGCACATAGCCAAATTACAAGTTCATACACCCCTTCTTCCAGAATCAGATTTAGTCAAAGATTTAAGTCTCACAAGCAAGTTGACCTTCCTCTCCCAAGAACAACTATATCCATCTTTCCTCTTCTTCCCTACAAGCTTTTCCGGTGAGCCCTCCCAGTTATCCGGCGAACCCATCAGCCTCCGGTCAAAACTTTCCAGTGATTTTGCCAGGTCATCATATTCACCACCCCCATGGTGATCTCCTGCTCCTTCAACACCCAAAATCTTTGCTTGCATGGCAGATATCGCAGCTTTGACCGCCACGTCAGCATCCCTCCTATTCCTCAACAAGATTTCAGCAATCTGAGCTGGCGTGAGGGCCCCACCTGATCTTATACAGCTCTCCGCAACATCAAAGGACGCATTTGAGTCCACCCCCAGATAGTTCTTCACCAAGGCCTTGAACGCATGCATGCCGCACGTGCCAAGGCTAACATGCACGTCCATGCGCCCACATCTAACAAGCGCCGGATCGACGTTGTCCCTGTGGTTTGTGGTGAAAACAATTACTTTCTCTTCTCCGCAACAAGACCACAGTCCATCCGTGAAGTTCAAGAGTCCTGATAAAGTCACCCGCCCGTCATCTCCACCTCCACTGTCACTGCAGCCGCGATGATCATGTCTGCTAGGAGGACCCTTTTTGTGGTTGTGGATGGATGATTCTCCCCTAGTCTTTGCTAGCCGGTCACCGGTGAGGTCAATCGAGCAGTCTATGTCTTCAATGACGATTATTGAACGATTGGTTGTTTGAATGAGCAAAGCCCTCAGCTCAGAGTTGTCTGAGACTTTGCTAAGTTCAAGATCGTACACATCATAGCATAAGAAATTTGCCATCGCTGCAATGAGGCTGGATTTTCCGGACCCTGGAGGACCGTGTAACAAGTAGCCGCGTTTCCATGCACGTCCAATTTTCTGATAGAACTCCTTTCCTTCAGAAAATGCTTTTAGGTCATCCATGAGTTGATCTTTTAGCTCTGGCTCGAGTGCTAGTGTCTCAAATGTGGAGGGGTGGCGAAAGGGAACGGATGACCAGCCGGATTCATACGAGCCATGTCCATTGTTGGTAAAGAGTCTCCGCTCTCTTGAAACTCTTTCGAACTCCTCAGCTTTTGTGGTGACGTGCTGGAGGTAGGGGGAAAGGAGAGTGAGGCGATGGCGCTTGGGAAGCTGGAGAGTGAAGCTTCTCTTTTCTTCGAGGGAATCTTGGATGGTCTCGACATGGTGAGTCCAAGAGAGATGGTGGCCGTCGAAAGAGTCGTGGACTGTATGATTTGGTGCAACAGTAAAGGCAATGCGGTTGGAAGATTTTGATCTTGAAAGGCTTAGACGGCGACAAGAGGAAGAGGAGTAAACAGAGTTTAGATAAAGGTTAACATGGCGGTAGAGATCATTAACGTCAACTCCACAATAGCCATTGAATTCTGGGATTTCAAAGTAGGCATGTGGGCTGAAGAAATCTTGGAGAGATTCATAGAATGAGTGCAGGAACGAGAGGAGTTGGGTTGGAAGAATGTTTTGGAGGACTGTCAGAAGGCCTAGCAGAGACCACAACTGTGACAATATCTCCATATTAATTTTCTGATGGAATTGAGGTTTTGTCTTTGTTTGTTGATGGAGTTGGATGGCGGGTTTTATATGCAAAGAGAAAAGACAAAGAAAAGCGCTGGAGTTTGCATGATATCGTAGAGGGATTGTTTGTGGCGGAATGGATTAGGATATGGTGGGATGGAGCCAAAGACAGAAGTCTGAAAGACACTGTTTAAGGGTTGAGAAAAGCAGCAGTAAAGATAAAGCAAAAAAGAAAGCAGAATGGTCTGCGTCTTTTCTTTTCTTTCATGTAGCTGAAGCTGAATTGGAGTCACACCATACTTTGTGCCCTTGAATGTCTTTTTGTTGAGTGAATAGATACAAAAAGTGGAATGACTCTTAAGTCCAACTTTGTTTAGTAAACAACTGAAGTTATAGTTGCTGTTTCAGCTCACTATATCATGCCTATAATTAATTAGGTTTCTTCACCTTTGATTTGCAAAATTAATATTGTGGTTGTTGGCATTTGTTTACTAGTCTCTTATTTCGTCATCCTCAAGCGGAATTTTTTTTGTAGTGCTTGGTCACCTAAAATGAAACTCTATGGTAATTTGTGACTATTGTTGACGCATGACATCATAGATGTTGATTTCAATCTCAATGGCAAGTTTTCTG